CATTGTCCAGGTTCCAGGTAAAATTCTGTAACTGTTAAAATACTTAAGTTTAATTTGTAATTATTAGTTAATTGTACAAGTTTTTGTCATGAATACATTTGATCTTCATCGCCTGATATTGTTCCCAATATAATAATTAACTTATTTACTGTATTTTTGCAGCACATCCTCATGCATTGTCTATACTTGTCTCAAAATAAGTCACAATATTAATTGTAAATCACACAGTTTCTATCTTAATTTTATTATCTTTTATTTGGACTTACTTTAAGCTATGAATCTAGACAAAGGATACTCAAACTGAAATTTTTAACATTACAAAAGTGACCAGATTTTTGTTAAGAGAAAATAGAAAAATTTAAAATGCAATTTTGAAAATACTTTTATTAAACTAACTACACTTAAACATTTTAAAAAACTTAAAAAATAATCTTTCTGTTACTGCATTGGTTCCAGGAAGACACAGACAAATTCAAGCTTTCTTTTTAATTGTCAAAGGATATATTACTTAATATTATCTTGTGAAAAGTAGATTAAAATTTCCAACCATTTCAATGATAGTTCCAACTTTTTTTCGACCATTCAAAACTCTTTTTTTCAGTAGTAACATATATTTTTTACATAGGTCATTTCAACAGTTTATCTTCGATTAGGTAAATTTCTGGTACCTTAATAGAAATGGTTTCATAAGTTTTTTGAACTTCACTTCAATGAATAATAATCGTACTTATAGAAGAATCCATTTAAAGTCCCCAACAACATGAAATTGTGCACTCCACTGCTCCAAATATTGTTTCCATAAAATAGTTTTATTTAACAAGAAAACCATTTTTGGTCTATATCTCCAGATTCTAACAAACTTCTCAAATATTTTCTTATACTAAGGGCAATGTATTCATTTCTCTATAATGATGTTAAGCCACTGATTTCCTGTGCCACCTCTGTTAAACCTATTTATTTTTTCTTATGTACTATGTATCAAATGGGGGCATACTTGTCATAAATGGGGGGGTCTCTGTCCCTCTCAATGGGAGATCTATGATCACTTTAAACATTACAGAACAGGAACAGATGGTCACAGTTTTTAATCATAATGAATATCTGATTATTCAACATTATTGCTAAAAAACCAAAAGGTTGAAACATTTGTAAAGGGCCTTCTTGGCAATGATATAATAATATATCGATGTTTTGTAAATATCGATATATTTCACAAAATCGATATTTTACTACCGATATATCGAAAAAATATTGATATAATCTTTCGATATATCTAAAACATTATTCATAAAGCGTGCACTCGTGCGCATGCGAGTCATGCGACGTTGATTGACGTTTACAGTTAACATGTCAGGGCGTCAACGTGTCTCTTTTTTTTAATTTTTGTTTTGTTTGATGTATGAATTTGCATATTTTTAGTTTTATTTTCGGTATCCAGAGTGGTTAATAATCGGTTTCCGTCGAGACGGTACCTATAGTGTTGCAACTCGATATCGAGTTATTCGATATCGAGTTATTCGATATCGAGTTAATCGATATCGAGTGAGTCGATAGCAAACAGAATCCCAATGCTGATAAAATCGCTGTCAAATTGTAACTGTCGTTTGTCATTGAAATGTTTAATAGGGACTGTCTACCTTCACGCCACCAAGTAATAATAGAACTAGGAAATTAAATTTGACATTTTTATGTCATGCATGTGCCGCGTTTGAGAATCCACATCGGATGCATATGAGATGTTGTGAATTTTTTATCACGTGATAGTGAATTAGATCTGAATGTAGATGTAATAAACACACGCTCTAGACCATTCTAGACTTTATTTGGTCACGTGATAAAATGTCCATGACAAGTTAGAAGTTTATACTTATTAAATTTGACTTTTGAGACTACAAATCAACCTAAATTTGAAATATAAACAAAAATTAAATAAACTAATCACTTTTATATTTATGCTAGCATAAACAAAGGATAAATTGACAAACAAGGCTTCACAGAACACTTAATTTCTGGCATGGAACGAACATCTCATTCACATTTCATTTCAAAACGAGATGTAAAAAATGTAATCTGAACAGGTACATCTGGGATAAAAAAACGCAGATGTAGATTTAGTAGATGTGTCCGATGTGGATAAAAAAACTCTCGAGATATAAAAAATGCATCCGATGTGGATTCTCAAACGCGGCAATGGTTATTATTAATATAACATTTTACTTGCATTTATATGGCACACTTTAATAGTACTGAATCTGAAAAAGTAATTGTTTTTAGGGTTTCTTACTTCAAAAACTCTTACAAAAATATTGCTATTAAGATATTTTTATTAGAGTGAGCCATAGAAAATGTTGCTAAAGTAGGTCATGACAGACAAGGACAGAGATACGATGAGTCAGGTTAGTGATAACTACACACAGCTCTAAATTACATCCAAAATGACACTTAAAAAAAAAAATAATCGTTCTCTCAGATATGCATTAATTGTTTCCAAGACCTATTTTAGAAATATTTTTGTGGCTATGGGCCGATTCCACCGTTGTGTTAAACGAAGATTAAATTGACATTGTTAATGTAAAAATGTCATTTTAAACTTCGTTTAACACAATGGTGGAATCGGTCCTTACTCTTTATTTTACACTTAACCAACACTCTTATCAACAATAAGTTAACATAATATGGGTCACTTGTTATTTAATATTGTTTTATCAGAAAAATGTTTTTTTTTAGTTTAGTTTAGTCCATCATCTACAATGTAAAATGCAATATTCAAATTTTCAATTTTGCAGAACATACAGGCCACAGGCAATTGTAAAAATGGTTATTTTTGTTTTAAGAGTAACGTGCCCTAGATTTTTTAAAATATTGAAAAAGTTATGTTATTTAGTATAAATCTAAAGCTGTCATGATACATAACCGTGAGAAAAAAAAAACAAAGAAAAACCAGAATCTACACATTTTAAAATAAATGTATTCTTTGTAATAAGAACCTAAAAAAACCTTTGATCTCAGTAATTCAGACGTGTAAAGTCATATTTTAATGTCCACATTAGAAGTAAATATGAATATCACATTTACTTAATATACATACGCAGAACGGAGTCGTATACAGATCCATAAAAATATAACCTACAAAGTTAAATCTGTTTTAAGAGTTTGGACCTACACAGGCCACAGAAATATGTAATATGTATTAAGAAAAACCCTGTTAGAAGGATAATTAATAATTTAGTATACCTACTGTACTTAAAGTTATTATATTATATTTATGATAGGATCCAAAATAACCGTATGTAAAAATTGAACTTCTATTACTATTCATTAGCTACCTACTTTCTAAGTCTGCAATTTAAATAATTTAGGATTGGGAATCATTGCTAAACTATCTTAGATTAATATTTAAGTTCTCTATAATTTCACAAAATAATTGCTTGGCCATCTTCAAATATCTGAGGTAGAATACAGTATAGAACGTGATTCTAAAACTTACATAAATACATTATTCAGTTAAAAAAATATTTAATACAGAAGAATAATGAGTACCCACCCTCTATCATATCAAGAATTACTTAAAATAAGCATTTCTTATGTGCATATAACTTTTGTTTAAACATTGTTTGCCTGTACATAACCTAAAACGGAAGTGTCAAGGAAATATACGAACTAATGTGACTCCTGGTATATAATGTACTTATCGTTTTCTTGCAAAATATGAATCTGGCAACGTTGTAAAAAATGGCCCCAAAAGTAACGATTAATATAAATAGTATTTAAATTAGCTCCGCCCCTTTGGACTCAATAAACTCATTATATATCAGAAAATCAGTGAGACCATTGAGGCCAGGGACCCAATGTGTCGAATTGGACTTGAAGTGTCGAGTTTCTATAAAAATTAGGCCTCAATGGTGCCACTTTAGGTATATATATATATATATATATATATATATATATATATATATATATATATATATATATATATATATATATATATATATATTTTTAATTATTGTAATCAATTTTAATATTTTTTAATAACGTGAACGTTGATATCTATTTGTTTTATTATACCATTAGTATTAAACTTTGTCCATGGAATCATGTATTCTCTCTGACAATAAAGTATATTATTATTATAACTAAACATTAATAACAAGTAATTAACGGAAGGCCAATCGCCTCTTCATCTGCAACAAAGCTAAGGACAGGCCTGTCGTAAAGCTACATTGCATTAGGATAGTAAGGGTGTGTTTTTAAAAGAAATTTTTAGAGTAGATACGGTTGTACAAAAAAAAAAAATAAAATAATCTCTTTAATCCCTCATCAACGTACTCAGTCAGCACATTGAAAAAAATTTTTTAACGGTATGCAAAATGTTTTAACGATATTATCTGTTGATACAGTTATTATAAAATTATAAATTTTTATATCATATTCGATAAAACTCATTACAGTTCCGTTGAACCACATCTGTAAATATTTCACTACTTTTGCAATTTAAACTGGTTCAGCTCTTAGACTATAATATCGGACCTCTTTGAAATATCCATCATTAAAGATGAGAGCTCCATTCGACATATACCATTAGATACTTAGTGGATATCGATGATGTTGGGGGATCGCTATAAATCTCCGGATTCGTTGACACTCGCATGGAGCTATGAGATGTACATAGCCGTGTTTTGAAAACATATCTCAGATTTCACAATGGACAGGTTAGAATTGGTATAGCGGCTAGGTTTATTATAGCTAGAGTATAATTTAACTGATAGCTCAAGTGTAAATATTTTTTGTTACGCCTCTTTGAAAATAAACAGAAAAAGTTGTTTATATAGTTTGTTCTGTTTATAAAGAGATGTATGTTGAAAATCACAATTCCTTCCACTCGACCTATATCAATTGCGGCTGAGGAGAGATGTAAGGTAAAATATTGACTAGTTCCATTACGAAAAAAAAAAAAAACTCGTTAAGAGAACGTTTATTGAGTATATTGCAACTAAAGTGTATTTGAAAATATTGTATAATACTATACTAATTTACTATTTACTGTTACTACTTGCTTACTGCACTAATAACTTCTTAAGATTCACAATAAATTTAGAAAATTAAACTTATTATTTCTTTTTTTAATAAAATACATAAATTTTATTAGCTCACTTTAAACTAAAGCAAAAAAAGTCGTTTAGTTTGATGAAGAGCCTTTTCTCCAAAATATAATGTTTTTAATTTTTTCCCATAGGGTAAGCTTCATCATTTCTATCTTCGTTTTTTCCTTTCTCTTTAATTTTAATGCAGATAAAGCCATACTGGATAGGCATTCTCTACTGTCTTCATCCCAAATGTAACCCCAGTGGCATATGCACCTGTAAAAATTAAACATAAAATTTACAAATTTAGCATGCTCAGAATAATAATTATACTTTTTTTGAATTTACGATTATAACTTTAAAGTCAAAGGTGGTGGCGGTATAAACCTTGTTGTATTATAAAATAAACTCCTGAACAAAATTAACGCAACATCAAAAATTTGCCAATTTTTATGCTATTTTTTTTGAATTTATGATCCGATTTGAATGTTTTTTTTTGCATTATAGGTTGGTTCCTTGACTGTTTATAATAAAAGTTGGTGTTTTAATGTTTTGACGTTTTTTTCCGAAAATTTGTATCACCCTGTAAAGTATACTAGCAACCGAAACATAGAGCAGTTGACATTAAACGATAGGTCCGTTTTTCTTCATCATTTTCTTTTTTGGTTTACTTCATTATCTCTGTTGTTAAAGATGATACGCCGTTTTATAGCGTAACATGTTTTAATGGACTTTATTATTCAAAACATTCATTGTTAAATGTTTTCAAGTAGACTATGGACATTTTCTGACATTTCAAGCGATGTGTCAACAGATGTTGAGTTTTAAAGTTACACAGCTCAAATAAAAACTGTTCATAAACTGATTATTAAACGTGCCCAGTTGCCCGACGAGTATTTTAATCTTGAAAAATGAATCGTCCAAAAAATGTATCGGCAGAAGAAGCAGTAAGAACCTTATCTTTGGTGGATAAGGGTTATTTGATGTGTCATGTTGCTTAGGTGATAGAAGGACATCGTTCGACTATAAGTCGTATGGTTGAATGATTTAACGAGACAGGATCTTACTCTCTAAGATCAGGACAAGGACGAAAACGATGTACCTATCCAAGGGATGAACATTTCATTAGAAAAACTGCTCTAAGAAATAGGAATATCACTAGTTCTAGGCTAAATAGTAAGCTTAGAACTGCTTGCCATCATGCAATATCGTCTCGAACAATCAAGGACCTTTAAATGAGGCAACAGAAGACCGGCAAAGAAACAACTACTCACCAGAGAGCACAGAGTTGCAAAATTGCCAGAAATTACCAACAATGGACTGTTAATAATTGGAAGAAGGTTTTATTTCCTGATGAAACGAGAAAAGGTCCATAGCCTATTTGAAAACATTTAACACTGAATGTTTTGAATAATAAAGTCTATTAAAACATGTTACGCTATAAAATGGCGCATCTCCTGTAATAACAGAGTTAATGAAGTAAACCAAAAAAGGAAATGTTGGTGAAAGATGGACCTACCGTTTAATGGCATCTGCTATATGTTTTGGTTGCTAGTATACTTCACAGGGTTTGTACGAATTTTTTGAAAAAAACATTACATTTGTATTAAGTACACCCAGTATAAATCGAGAAGGAACTTTTTATTATAAACATCGAAAATTATGACATTGTCAAGGAACCAACCTATAATGCAAAAAATCATTCAAATCGGATCATAAAAAAAAAATAGCATCAAAAATGTGGCAAAATTTATGTTGTTGCGTTAATTTTGTCCAGGAGTTTATTTCATAATATAACAAGGTTTATAATTGACACGTTTGACTTTAAAGTTATTTTTTAGTAAATAAAAGGTAATATCTTAGGGAATCTTAAATTTAAATTTTAAATTTTAAAACTTTTGGTCCTCCCGATATTATATTCCACATTTTAAAATTATAAATTTTATGATTTAATATATGATATTTTTGAAGGATGTTTCATATTTCATGATTTTTATAATTCTACATTTTTTATGAGTCGATAGTTTATAAATTGTTAGTTTATAATTCAACATTTTATAATTCGAAATTATATAATTCGAAAATTAATAAAGCAATATATTTTTGTGTATATAACATTTCATTTATATTTTTTATGGTTCGACATATTATTATTTGATTATTTCATAATTCACTATTTTTTATTTAACAATTCCATATTTTTTATTTCCAAATTTTATATTTCAAAATTTTATAGTTGTTTTTAATATTCAAAATTTTATAATTCGATAGGTCCTATTTATTTCATAATTCAATAAATTATAATTCTATATTTTACAAAAATAATTTCAGTATTTTTTAACTCGATATTTATTAATTAGACATTTTATATTTAGACATTTCATTATTCAACATTTTATAATTCGATATTTAGTAAGGCGATATTTCGTGTTTATAAAGTGCTTTTCTTTTGAATCGTGAAACTTAGACTGATAAAATTTGGAGGGTGCAAATAAACTATTGCAAACGTTTCTGCTAGTTATAACAGTAACAGTTGAAGTAATAGTCATCGATGACGTCACAGGGCGACTGGAACGGGCAACTACGAAATTCCCCACGATACCTAGATTTTATTGGGTTCAGTCATTCTACTGTTGCTCTTTGGAATTATTGACTAATGAGTTTGCTGGTCACTGATCTAGATGATTTTGAAATAATGTTTCAACAAGATGGTGCTTCTGCATATTATTATTTTGAACTAAGACGTTATCTAGATGAGAAATATCCTGGAGATGGATAGGACATCGTGATAAAATAGAATGTCCAGCACGGTTCCTGGACCTAATACCTTTAGATTTCGTTGTTATATATTAAATCTAAGACTTACGCTACTGCTTCTAATAGAATTAACTTTTTAAAACAACGAAATCTTAAAAATTAAGGATAATTTCCCCATATACATTTTAATCAGTTCGACAATAGTTTAATAGAAGGATGTTTTACTGCTCGGAAATAGATGGAGCACATTTTTAACAATTATTATAAGAACTGCTTCTTAAATCTTTAATAATTAGGGAAACTTAAGTTTTGGTATTTATTTAATCCATCAAAATCGCTGTAAATCCAAACACAATTATTATGAATGCATAGGTATTCTAAATACCTTTTAAACGAAGTATAAATTGTCATAAGGTCCTATTGAATAATATTGGTTTTAGTTGCCTTTTGACGTCATAGATGACTATTACGTCACCTGTTATCAGTAGTAGAGAAGCTTGTTATAGTTAATTTTTACCCTCTAATTTTCACCAGTATTAGTATTGCCGTTAAAAAAATTAAGAGTGGGGGAAGGGACGTTAGAGAAGCATTGTATATTATTTAATCCATAAAAAAATTGGACATTTTTTATTTGATACATATTTCATAATTTTATAATTGACAATTCTTTATTTTTATTATTCGAAATTTTATAATAGGATATGTGATTGTATAATAATTGAGGAGCAACCATGCAAAAGTGGTTAAATCCACTTTTTAAAGATATTGAGTTAGATGCAGAAATTAGTTTTTGTAAGGATTGATTAAAATCGTAACACATCGAGTCTACACCTTCACAGTCGCCAAATAAGTGATTCCATTGAGTTATTCCCAGGAGCCAAGAAAATTTTCATTATAAATCGTTTTCAAACTGTACGCTAGAAATAATTTTTTTTTACACTATTTAGCTTAAGCGGTAGACTAATAAGAAGTCCAGGATGATAGGGATCTGTGGGAACCAGAGGATTTTCATCAAGGCGAATGGTACAATAGTATTTAGAGGGTGTACAAACGAGGTCAGGGATTCTGTCATTAAACTTTTTCACTTCATTGCACTGGTTAATAAATAGAGATGGGTTGCTATTTTACAGTAGCAGGTTCCGAGAAAAAAGAAAAACGATATACGTTCTTATTTTTTTTTAAATTCTTTTTTTATAGACTTATTTTGTCTATTCATGTTCAATACAAAAAATATGACATTCAAAAATTAGAAACACTTTTGTTGAAATTAAAACAGAATGTAAAATGTTAATCTTTAAGTAGTAACTCAATAAGTGAATCCCCGATATAACTAAAGATAAAATTAATAATATCAATTATCTTCTTATTAACTTTTGCCCTGGTTGTAAGGTCCATTTAGTAAGTTCTAACCAATCTATAAGAAAAGAAAATAATTAGATGTGTTTTAAACGCAATTATTAACTCCATAATCATTTATTTATAGATAGAACAATTTTACTAAACACAGATAGCCATAAAAAACTTATCATTATCACCATGTGTGAAATATGAAAATTACTTAAAAACTGCTTCAAAAAATAGCAGTATTTTGTCACTGCTTTTTTGTTATAGCAGAAGTGGTTGTCACTGCTTCTTAAAAATAGCTTGCTTTACTTATCTCTATTAATAAATTAAGCAAATAGTAATAAATACTTAGTTAATTTTAACAAAAGGGAAGATATCCATGTCACTCTAAGCAAAAGTCTTGGATCCGAGTGACCTGTTACCAAAATTTGAAATTCAAAAGTGCTGAAGTACCTAAGTCTATTCTCAAAAAAGGCTCAAAAGAAACGCAATTAACTTATGGAAACTCTCGATCTCAAACATATTAAGAAAAGAAAAAAACTTTACAAGGTTTGTTTTTGCATAATTGGTGAAGGGTGGAAAAACAATAAGGATCTAGTATTCTAAAAAAATATATTAGACAACAGTGAAAACGATGACATACACAATAAAACTGAGGAGGCTAAATACCTTTGCGATTATTTAGAAAAAGATGTTGGGCTTTATATTTGATTTTCTCAGTGGGTGTTTTTTACATTTAATGAACTTATACTAACTTTACTTATTATGTTTCTTAATAAATAAACATTTGTTTTGATCAATAGTGAAAAAATGTAAATAAATTTACAAAAAAAATGCTTTACATATCTTTAAAAAAAAAGATAAATGCGCATTTTATTTAAGAAAAACAGTCCTCACGTTTTAAGGCCGCAGTATCACTGTATTTTTCATATAAGAAGCAAGGGTTCACCATTTCCGATTGCATTTAAATCCCGCTAAATGTATTAAAATGAATCTTCTACCAGCTTAAAGTATAAGGTTTGGAGAATGAAATCTCCTATTTTTTATTAGTCCTGTTTATACACTGAATTTAAAAAAAAATTATAAAAAGTGATTTTAAAACCAGAGGCTAAAAAGTAGGAGATTTCATTCTACATATTTTTCCAAGTATCCCGCCAAAATATTTCTAAATTTTATTGCGTATTTTTCAAATCTAACTGGAAATACGATTAACAAATATTTGATAAATTTATTTGTCAAATTAGAGATTTTCTATGAATTCCTGTAATTGTGTATAGTTCATGTAGTTCATTTATTTTTAAGAAGATAACATCGTAAAAACAATATAGCTACTCTGTTTTAGAGATGGTTTTAATAGGTAAATGATTGTTTAGAGGTACCAATTTTTGAAACAGTGATACAGCTGTATGCCGTCTTTTATTGTTTCGTGATTTTCATATATATTTGTCCGTTTGGTTCCAAATTATCGATTGATTTTGCCTGTGTATGAACAAGTGTTGACCACGTTGCCAGATTATCGATTTATACGATAATTTCACAATTCTTTCTAGGACAAATTTGATTTTAAAGTGGGTGAAATATACAATTGTGAAATGCAGGAAAGGGAAAGGGAACTTTATTGCATTCCGGTGTAAATTAAATTCAAATGACCTGGCATCATTGTATGATACGCACGTAATATTGGCGGTCTTTGCTTTCTTCTTCTGAATGTTATTTTATCTTTATAAGGAATCTTATTTCTGGGTTAACACGTTGACTGCTATGTGTATGTACCCGTGTGTATGTCCCATTAGTGCGTAATTGTTCAATATTTTAATTTATGTTAAAGACACGCAAACATGTTTCAAAGAAAAGTTATATGGATTTAAAAAATACATATTTTAAAAATATTTTTGGATATATACAGGGTGTTACATTTTTGCTTGGCATATTTTTAAAATAGAACATGTATTTTATTTCAATTTTAGAATGGTTTGGTAATACTGTATTCAACCCTAGAATAATTTAAAAAAATATTACAGGTCTACCAAGCAATTAAATTTTTATAAAATTAGAGAATGATGCAGACCCCAAATTAAATTATCATAATTTAGGTAGGATTACATTGATTTCAAAATTAATTAATACACTGACTTATAGCACATTAAGATAACGAATAGTAGTGATAGTGATGGATTCTTTTATAGCGAGTGTTTTGAAACATGTGTCTTAAATATGGTTACTTTTAAGTCAAATTACTCTATTTTTTCAAAGGCAGCATCCAATATAATATTTTAGCATACAATTCCTTATAAATTTGCATATCCAACGATACTAACATGTTAGAGAATAACATATATACAGAGTGTCCCATCAGTGCGTAATTGATCGATAGCTGTTTTATTATTGGACATAAGAAAAAAATTAATATAAAATTGTAGGTATGACCATATTTAAAAATTATTCCTATATATACAGGGTGGTCCATAAACGAGATGTTGACCAAACCTATACATTTTTAAATCAAAACACCCTGCAGGTAGTTATACATATTTGATTGTTTTCACGTCGTCAAATAATTTTAATTGACTTCATTCATTTGCTATGTTATATATAGGGTGTGTCAACACGCGAGTTTACAAATGTTTAAATTTTTTTCAATAGAATATTATATTAATTGGTGGCATAACATACAGGGTGTTCCATTCTAAAATTGAGAAAATCGTGACCATTTTGACACACCCTATATACAACATAGCAAATTAATAAAATTGAAATTATTGTTCGACGATGTGAAAACTGTCAAATATGTATAACTACCTGCAGGGTGTTTTGCTTTAAAAATGTATAGGTTTGGTCAGACAATCGTTTATGGATTACCCTGTATATTTATAAATAAATGTTAAATATGGTTATACAACTTTTATATTAATTTTTTTCGTATTTTCTATTATAAAACTGCTATCGATCAATTACGCACTAATGGGACACCCTGTATATATGTGTTATTGACTAACTTATTGGTATCGTTGGATATGTTAATTTATAAGGAATTTTATGCTTAAATATTATACAGGGTGTGGCATTTGAAAAAAATTAAATAAATTTAACTTGGAATTAGCCATATTTAAGACTTGTTTTTCAAAACACACTGTATAAAATAATCCAGTTCTATTATCACTATTTGTTAGCTTAGTATCTTATTACTGCATTTTAAAAAAAATTGAAATTATTTTAAACCTACCTAAATAATGATAATTTAATTTGGGGTCTGAATCATTCTCTAATTTCATAAAAAAATTAATTTATTGGCAACCCTGCAATATTTGTTAATAAAATTTTAGGGTTAAATACAGTATTACTAAAGCATTCTAAAACTGAAGTAAAATACAGGGTTTTTTTACTTAAAAAATATACCGTTTTATTTGTCAGACAAAAACGCAAAACCCTATATATCTAAAAATATCTTTAAAATACCTATTTTTGAAATTCATATAACTTTTATTTAGAAATTGTTTACGTGTCTACAACACGCAATATTGAACAATGTAATAATTTAATCCCGCGCCGCGTTTATATATTTTATTCACGCTTCTATTAGATATTGTAGTTTACTTGAGTATTTAAACTACTTTGCTCTTAAAACGTAAAAACAGACTTAAATTTTTAGAAAAACTACTTCGGCTCAGCAGACCCGACCACAACATTTGCTTCGGCAGTCAACGTGTTTTAAATGCTTTTTAATTCATTTGTTGTTTAATTTGTATTTAGTTATTAATATTTCAAAAATGCTTATTTTTCTTATTGATTAATCTAAAATAATAATTGAAAATAGTACTGTAATTCTAAATTGATAAAAAAAAGTACAAATATGAAAACATAAATTACGACTCTACAAATAAAGTAAAATTTTATGATTAATTTCTTTTTTCTTACAAAAACATTAGCTCAGCAATATGTCATAAGTTGCATACACACAGTATGTCCATGTAAGTTGATAGCAAATAGAAAACTTTTTTATTAGGTATTCATTTTACGAAAAAAAGTAATTCTTCATAAAAATGTATGCATAGTCTAACAGAAAATGCAACCACCCGATATCAAATTTTATCAGTCGGTTTTACAAGGTTTATAAAAAAATATAATTTTGCTCAATATAAAATACCTTTATTTTCGACAAACGCTGTATAAAATTTGTTATCAGATGATTGAATTTTAGGTTTTAGACCATGCATAACTTTTTATGTAAAGTAACTTTTTTTCTAAAATTAATAGACCATGCAATTGTTTATGAAAAATAAGTTTTTTTCTTAAAATTCTTAAATACGTTTTCCGTATGCCGATGCCGCCAACTTACATATAAATGAGATTAAATTAAATTAAAATGTAAAAATATCATTTTAAACTCCGTTTAACACAACGGTGGAATCGGTCCTAAGTAAATATACCGATGTGTCGAATTTAATCCCAAATCCCAAACTTTTATTTTTATACCTGTTACATCGAAAATATTTGTCAAGGTCAAGAACTCGTTTACTTATTATCGCGTAGTAGCTAGGCGTGATGAATTTGTTATTTTATAACAGTTACCGTTTAAAATTAATATGCCATCTGTTGAACAAAAGAACTATTAAATATGGAATATTGCTCCATCTGCTGAACAAAAGGATTCTTAATTTATGACACATAAATGACATCTATCAAAATTAGTTCATGTTACGAATATTGGGGGTGGTACTGTGGTCTTAATTGCATATTTCAGGTAAAATCTATGTTTTTTTCAATTATTCTTTTAAAAAGTAATATATCTTACGCAAGCCGTTTTTTTTTTCATTTTTCTCAAAATGACATATGGATTTATTGATTTAACCAATTTTGCAAGATTACTCCTCAATTTATGTTTCTATATTTTATAAATCTATATTTTAAAAATTAAATTTTTTTAATATATTTTATGATTCTACATTTTTAAATTAGACATTTTGTAATTTAACATCTTAGAATTCGACATCTTATAATTTTATAAAACGATATTTCATTTTTATATATTATTTCATTTCGATAACTTGTCCTCAATCCGAACTACCCTGTACATCTAACAGTTCGTGCTAAAAACACTTTAGCAGCATCGCTTCTTACGAATATTTACAACGTTCTAATTGTCAAATTTCTACACCTTTCTCTCATCATACCTAAAACTTCCCGGCAAATTAAGACAACTCTCCACCTTGGGTTTGCAGTTATGAGTTTTCGATACGCATTCATCCACGTCTATACAAATTCCATAGCGAGAATTCCATTCGTAACCACGTCGTTGGGGACAACGGCACGTCACGTTCCATCTGTTCAAGATGATATCGCTGGAAAATTGCCCCTTTTATTATTTACCCCTTTTACTCCAATTTCGTTATTAAGGAACCTGAATTGAGGTAGTAGAGCGAAAATCGTAAGAATTAAGTCATTAATGTTGATTTCGGTAAAACATTTTGGGTCAGGTAAAAATAATATTTTTTTTTATTATTACTTAATTCAAATAAAATTTAAAATAAAATTAAGGCGTTTTGTTCACCGAAGCAATAGTGGCGCAACCAAAATTTTTTAATATTATACATAAATCTTCCTACAAACGTTTAATTTATTAACTTTTCTATCCGCAAGACTGGCATAATTTTAGTTAGCATATATTTCCCGAAATGGTGAATTTCTCTCTAAATTATAACGGATGTAAAGAAGGTTTTGTTATGTTCGAAAAATGGTGACATATTTTTACATTTGCCAGTATAGACTTTATACAAGGTGACACATCGAAATCATCGCAACTTGAATATTTTCCTTGAAACAAATAATATGAAAAATGGCAAAAATTCGTCATTAAATTTTTAAGGAGGATACCTACCTACAATAAATACTTTTAGCACTCGTGGCTCAACCTCCTAAGAGGGATAAATGTTACCTTTAAAATCTTAAATGTGAAAGGAGTCAAGTGGCACATCATTTTAAAGGACGTTTCATTCTCTTTCCAATGGTATCCTAATTTATTATCTATTGACCAGCACTACCAGCACGTTCCCAAAAATTGCGTTTTAAAGTTAAAGAAATTGGAACGAGCCTGCACTGAGATTCTTGATTTTTAGATTAGTATTTAAACAAAAATTATTCTATTGTGTTGAATAACAGAAGGAATATTAAGTCTATCCGTTTTTATTTTTTTGGTTACGTGACATTTACAAAAATAACTTTTAATTCAAGAGACGTAAAATGGTGGTTACCACCCTAGACTGAGGCCCACAAGGGTAAACTCGTAGCGTAAAAAAAACGAGAAATAATTTAACTTGGAACGAAAGACCAAAAGCCAATAGTAGTATTAAGACGTTGAATTTACTGGTTTGTGAAGCATTGGCTTTACTTAGGTCAAACCTTGTGATGATTTTTACAAATCTTGATTTTTAAAACCATTCTACAACGCCTTTTGATTAGGGTTTACAAACTTATTCGAGCAACTTATCCAATAATAATTGGCCCCTTTACCTCTCAAGCCTACTCGTGTAAAATATTTGGGCTCCTTACTTCGCCTATTTATCTAAAAATATTTGGACTTTTTTAAATATATCTATGTAAAATTACATGATCCCTTTACTCCATTAGATTTGTTCATGTAAAAATATTTGCACCCATTGTTGCTTAAGCCTACATACGTATAAAAATTTAAAATGGTTTCAAAAAAGTGACATCTTTTTTCATTTTGATAAATTTATTAATACAAATTCTTTGGGCGGTGCATTTATTGTTCTGATACCTTAAAAATAGTAGTACGACTACTGATGTATTTTTTACCTATACCTTGATTAACCCTTTTCCTGACCTTGGTCACAAGTTTAAAGGTTTCCATGAATAATACCAATTTTGCAACGTTCTGTAAGTAGGATTTTGGTAAATATTGCGAAGACGCCCTTTCTTAAATATACAATTTTTTTTTAAAAAACTTATATTTTATACTTTAGGATTAAAAGTATTTTTCAAATATATAACCGGAAAACCCATAAATTAACTTTTTTTTTTAAATACATATTAAAGGCTTATGAGGATCACTAAGTAATTATTTATGTATTTATGGACCTTTTCATCATGTCATGAGCGCAAGCGCAACCACCATGTTGAAATAGCGGTAATTCAAAAGTTTCGTACTGTTTTGATCGACAATGGCTGGAAAAGCATTATTATCTCTACAGAAAAATTATTCACTAGAAAAAATCGTAGATGGTGATTAACTTCTTCATAACTCTGTGGAAGCCTTAGATTAAAGAGACCGAAGATGTAACATTGCACACTGCGCATGCAGTCTATTTTAAGCCAAAGTAACCCACCAATTGAAAATCATTGTTGCACGACGCCACCCGAATTGCTCCGATTTCCATTCAGCGATCACACCTCCACCTGAGTTTAATCACCATTGACAGCTGTTTTTTGATTTATTTGTTGGTATTTTAGCAATTTAAAGTGTTCTAGTTATTCAATTTCAAGTTCAAAATGTCACGATGTATCTTGAAAAATTGTATGTACTTATAATACAAGTACTACTGTTATGAATATATTCGTTTTCAGCGGTAAATATTTATTAACGTTTTGACATAAAGCGCCATGATTCTCTGGGCTGAATACTTCAGATCCGCATTAAGGGGTTTCAATAAATATTAAGCATCAGATTTCATATTACTTACATAAATTTACAAAAGGGTAAAATTTTGAACATTTAATTTAAATAAATAGTAAATAGGCATTATTGCTAACGAAATTTTGTATTTAAAAAGTAGTTTTATAAGAATGTTTTCTAAAGGTAGTTTTTAGCCCTTTTTGGTAGATAAATAAGAGGTAAAGAATCATAGTTGCTAGCTAAATTTTATTTTTATAAGGTATTTTTATAAGAATATTAGATGAAATACAGGATGACCTACTTAAAATTTCAAGGTTCATCTTATTTGCGGTCAAATCGAAAGTGACATTGAATTTTCAGTCTTAAAACAAAGTAATCTAGTATAAACAAAAAAAAAAATACTAAAGTTACAGGAGTTAGGTCCGATTCCACCGTTGTGTTAAACGGAGATTAAAATGACAGTGTTAATGTAAAAATGTCATTTTAAACTTCGTTTAACACAACGGTGGAATCAACCCTTAGTCACGTTAATAAAATGTTACATTACAAACCCCTAAACAACTCGAACATAATTTTCGTTTACTAAAAAAAATCCAAAATTTAGCAATATTTATTTATTATACAAGCGAATGCGATTTCAAAGATAACTGGATCAAAAAATCCGAATCTCTAAATTTTGGAGCTAAATGCTCAGATAAAAGCAAGCGACCGATAGGGGTTACAAAAATAATCGATTTATCGATAATTCTGATATTTTTTAATGAAAATCGATTTATCCGCTGTTTTTAATAAATTATTTTCGTTTTTTTTTAAGATAATGTATTAATCGATTTTAAAGGAAATACAGAAAAAGTACATTTATTCAAAATTATCGATTTATCGTTTAATCGGTTTTTTAATTATTTGATTATTTTCGATTTTTCAAAGATATTATATGAAAATAATCGATTGAATATAATCGGTTATTTTACATAATCGATATTTTGGTTATTTTTTTAAAATTATCGATTTATTGGATAATCAGCTTTTTAATAATCAATTATTTTCGATAATCGAATAATCAATTTCAAAGGAAATATGAAAAAAGGATTATTAGAAAATAATAGATAATTCGTTTTATTTTTTGGAAAATCGATTTATCATAGAATCGGCTTCTTAATTAATTGGTTATTTTCGATTAGGCGATTATTTTGGAATTATTGATTATTTTTGGTATTTCAAAGATAACCGAATTATCGATTTTAAAGGAAATACAATAAAAATAGATTATTGATAATAATCGATTGATCGAAAATAATCGATTATTTAAAATAATCGATCATTCTGTTTTTTTTTGAAAATCGATTTGTCAGTTAATCGACTTTTTAATTAATCGAATATTTTTGAAATACAATAAAATAGATTATTGGTAATAATCGATTTATCATAGAATCGGCTTCTTAATTAATTGATTATTTTCGATTAGGCGATTATTTTGGAATTATCGATTATTTTCGCTATTTCAAAGATAATCGAATTAACGATTTTAAAGGAAATACAATAAAAATAGATTATTGATAATAATCGATTGATCGAAAATAATCAATTATTTAAAATAATCGATCATTCTGTTTTTTTTTTAAATCGATTTTTCAGTTAATCGACTTTTTAATTAATTGATTATTTTTGATTAATCGATTATTTTCGATTTTTCAAAGATTATCGAATAATCTGTTTCCATGGACGAAAAAAAATGGTTTATTTGAAAATAATCGATTATTTAAAATAAACGATAATTCTATTTATATTATATTTTGTCAACACTGATTTATCGGTTAATTGGCTTTTTAATTAATCGATTATTTTTGATTTTTCAAAGATAATCAAGTAGTCGATTTTAAAGGAAATTACAAAAAATATATTGTTTGAAAATAATCTATTGATCGAAAATAATCGATTATTTTCAATTATCGATAATTTATTTCGATAATCACTCATCCCTAGCGACCAAATGACTTTTAATAGATTTAAATTTTAAAATGTTATCTGGTTTCAGACATATGCATTTCTAGAGTTTTATGTGACTCATCCTTTATAATAAATAATATTCTTAAAGAAAGAAGCCTTAATATACTTTTTCTGAGGTTACAATACAAAACAGCATTTTCTCATTTTGACTAATTTTTAATAATATGTAATAGCCGTAGAAAAAATATAATGTTCAACTCATAAGGGTAGATTTGCAGTATTAGCCTGCGCACATGCTATTTTTATAATACTCGTAGACAATGAGTTAAATTTTTTGCTCTATTAACAATATATTCTATTTCAACATTTTGCTGTAATCTCTTGCAGAAAAGTCCGTAGTAAATAAACGCTAACGAAATATTCTATAAAAGGTCTTCTCTTTACATAAAATGTCGTGGCATCTGTTTGATATTAAAAAATCACGATAATTTGATTTCATAATACAAAATTCGATTAAACACCTTTTAAATAAACCTAATAGTTCATTAAGTTGCTAATAAACAAAGTCCGGTCCCTGTCACAGAGTTCGAGTCGCCGCGTGTCGCCGCCCAGTTCCCCCACTCCGTTAACCCTTCTTTAGAAATTGGCAACATTTGCGCAGGTTTAAAACCGGTGTATGTTATATCTCTGGTCTCTTTTATCTAAGGTGGAAGCGCATAGTTGTGAGCGGTTGAAAAGGTGGTTGAAGTGTCTTGGATCTTT